GGTCCACAAAACTCACTTCTTCAACACATTGACTGTGGCATTCTAGAGGATTTTCCACCCCAGAGTGATGTACCATAATAACATTAAGGAGATGGATGAGTGGTGTCTTGATTTTATTTCTTTTTTTTTTTTTTTTTTTTTTTTTTTGAGACAGAGTTTTACTCTGTCACCCAGGCTGGAGTGTAGTGGTGCAATCTCCGCTCACTGCAACCTCCACCTCCTGGTTTCAAGAAATTTTCCTGCCTTAGCCTCCCACAGGCTGGCTAATTTTTGTATTTTTAGTAGAGGCAGGATTTCACCATGTTGGCCAGGCTGGTCTTAAACTCCTGATCTCAAATGATCCACTCACCTCAGCCTCCCAAAGTGCTGGGATTACAGGCATAGGCCACTGTGCCCAGTCGGGCCTAAAGGAAGAAAAGAATAATTATTAAAAAAAAAAAAAAAAAAAAAAAAAAAGTGAGAAAAGAGAAACCTACAGGTTACAGGCCCATTTTTCTTTTCTTTTTTTTTTTTTTGAGACAGAGTCTCACTCTGTCACCCAGGCTGGAGTGCAATGGCACGATCTTGGCTCACTGCAACCTCCACCTCCTGAGTTCAAGCAATTCTTTGCCTCAGCCTCCCGAGTAGATGGGATTACAGGTGCCTACAACCACACCTGGCTAATTTTTTGTATTATTAGTAGGGACGGGGTTTTACCATCTTGGCCATGCTGGTCTTGAACTCCTGACCTTGTGATCCACCCACCTCAGCCTCTCAAAGTACTGGAATTACAGGCATGAGCCACCACATGCGGTCTTTTTTTTTTAGACGATGTTTTGCTCTTATTGCCCAGGCTGGAGTGCAGTGGCGTGATCTTGGCTCACTACAACCTTCATCTCCCAGGTTCAAGTCGTTCTCCTGTCTCAGCTTCCCAAGTAGCTGGGACTAGAGGTGCACGCCACCATGCCCAGCTAATTTTTGTATTTTTAGTAGAGATGGGGTTTCACTATGATGGCCAGGCTGGTATCAAACTCCTGACCTTGTGATCTGCCTGCCTCAGCCTCCCAGAGTGCTGGGATTACAGGTATGAGCCACCATGCCCAGCCAATAGGGCCATTCTTAAGCAAATCAGTCATAGGCAAGGATATAAAATAAAGTCAAAGATCTAGAAGTTGATTTCCATTCAACAATCTATGTGCCCATAGATGTTACAGAAAGTGTCTCTGCACCCCCTCCCTATATTTCCATTTGAAGACTACTGCACTATAGCATTCTGGGCAGAAAGTGGGCAAGCAAGAGGCCAGGAAGTATAGGGTGAGGGTGAGTAAGAAAAGAAACAGAAAAAACATTTGAATTTCAGTGTAGAATGTACAAGGTTGGGATAAATATGGAAGGAGGGAAGATGAGCAGGGAAGCACTGACATTTTGATGGGGAGAATAATGATAAGCTCTTACTATGTGCAAAGCAATTTACAGACATGAACCCTCACCACCTCCTGATGAAACAAGCATGCTGGAGAGCATCAGAGTGAAGAAGGGGCCAATCACTATGGTCTCCTGACTTCTTTCAGTGACAGTGCTGGCAGCCTGAGAATCCAGGGAGGTGTGTGGTGGAAGACTGAGGAGGTGAGGCCTAGGGAGTTTAGTCAGAACGGAGTTAAGATGACTGAGTGACATAGGGATGCAAATGAAGGTGGACAGGGAGGAGTGAGATGCTAACAGACGGAGACTTCAGAGAGAGTGAAGGATGTGATGAGCACATTCTTTGTGCTCCAAGGGAAGGTAACCAAGGGAACATAACCAAGGGAAAGTTTATGCGAAACTGGGATGAGGTTCTATTTTGAAATGTCAAAAATTTTAATACCTCAAAAGTAATATCCTTTAAAACTCATTAAAATTTATGATGAAAAATGAAAATGTTTTAGATGTCAATGTGCAAATGTATAAAGAGATACAAACCTTCCAAAATTATTTTACGGGGTATGTAAGCAAAACTATTTGCAGTGGCTTTGTTTTCTTTGCCAGAAATCTAACCTCATCCAAGAGCTCCAGCAGTAAACTCCAACTGAGTTAACCCAGTTAAATAAATGCCCTACTTCTTGCAAGGGACTGGTTCTGAAACAGTAAGGATGCAGGAATTCCTGGTTCAGAAATGGACAACCACCTTCATCTGGGTCAGTATTTTGAGGAAGTTTGCTGGGAGCTTCTGGGAATAGTTTCCTGCCATTCTGAGAGAACCATAGGAAAATAATTCTATATATTGTTGCCTGTACCTGCTGCTGCTATCTCCCTACCAGCTTGTGGATGAGGGCAGCTACAGCTAAGAAAAACAAGGGAAATGCTGCCTGGGCCACTGGATTAAATCAGTCCTAAAACCACTACACCTCTTTTTTTCTTTTTCTTTTGAGACAGAGTCTCACTCTGTCACCCAGGCTGGAATGCAGTGGTGCAATCTCGGCTCACTGCAACCTCCACCTCCCAAGCTCAGGCGATTTTCCCACCTCTGCCTCCCCAGTAGCTGGGATTACAAGCATCTGCCACCATGCCCAGCTAATTTTATATTTTTAGTAGAGAAGGGGTTTCACCATGTTGGCCAGGCTGGTCCTGCACTCCTGACCTCAGGTGATCCACCCACTTCAGCCTCCCAAAGTGCTAGGATTACAGGTGTGAGCCACCATGCCTGGCCTATACCTGTTGAATTCCAATTATGAGACCCTGTATACTTGCATCTTTTAAAGCCAGCTTGAGTTAGATTCTGTTACTTACAGACAAAAGCATTTTAACTGATGCAAATGATTTTCCTTAACCTCTGAAAGACCAGATCCTACCAAATATTCCCTATCTAGTACAAGGATAACCTCCTTCTCAAAGTCTTCATTAACATCTGCAGGAAAGAGGTTCTCTCTTGGTCCTCTGAGCCAACATTTCATTGGCCCTTTTCTCTCGTTCATTGTACTATAGTTATCAAGACACTTCCTGTTTATTGTACCCCAAAGCCTACAGAATAAAAACTTCTTCCCATGACTCATAACATCCCTCCAAGGAAACCCATTTCCCTTCCTCATCTACTGTCCTACACCCTCCAATAACTGTTGGAAGCTGCAGTCATGCTCAGTATCCTGCAAATCAAACATTTTCTATTCTTTAAAGCTTCTTTGCCTTTGAGAACAAGTTATTCCCACTTCCTAATCTACTGCCTACTTTGTGCACTTCACAAGCATGGGCAGACCACTCCATTTTTTTTTTTTTTTGAGAGGGAGTCTCACTCTTGTTACCCAGTCTGGAGTGCAGTGGTGCGACCTTGGCTCACTGCAACCTCTGCCTCCCAGGTTCAAGCAATTCTCCTGCCTCAGCCTCCTAAGTAGCTGGGATTACAGGTATGTGCTACCATGCCCAGCTAATTTTTGTATTTTTAGTAGAGACGGGGTTTCACTATTTTGGCCAGGCTGGTCTCCAACTCCTGACCTCAGGTGATCCACCTGCTTGGTCTACCAAAGTGCTGGGATTACAGGCATGAGCCACTGCGCCTGGCCAACCCCTCCATTTTCTTCCCAGACCCCCAAGGCAGGCAGCTACTCCTTCACCTTGTAGCAGCTACCTCACTGCATTATTACATTTTTTTTTTTTTTTTTGAGACAGAGTCTCACTCTGTCACCGATGCTGGAGTACAGTGGCGCATGCAATCTCGGCTCACTGCAACCTCTGCCTCCTGGGTTCAAGCAATTCTCCTGCCTCAGCCTCCCGAGTAGCTGGAACTACAGGCGTACACCACCATGCCCAGCTAACTTTTGTATTTTTAGTGGAGATGTGGTTTCACTATGTTGTTCAGGATGGTCTTGATTTCTTATCCTTGTGATCCGCCCACCTAGGCCTCCCAAAGTGCTGGGATGAGAGGCATGAGCCACTGCACCTGGCCGCATTATTAATTTTCATACCTATTTTCTTCTCTAGACCATAAGCAAGAATGCTGTTCCATTTATCTTGGTATTCCCAGTGCCTAGTATATTTCAGATACCTGGTAAATGTTAAGTGAATTTGTGTAACTGTCTCATATATATAATGAATCTGCAACACCTCCCTTTTTTCTGAGGCAGGGTCTTGGCTCTAATGCCCAGGCTCACTGCAGGTTCAACCTCCCAGGCTCAAGAAAATCCTCCTACCACAGCCTCCCAAGTAGCTGGGACTACAAGCATGCGCCACCACACCCAACTACCCAACTAATTTCTTTATTTTTTGTACAGAAGGTGTCTCACTATGTTGCCCATGCTGGTCTTGAACTCCTGGGCTCAAGTAATCCTCCCACCTAGGCCTCCCAAAGTGCTGGGATTACAGGCATGAGTCACCTCATCCAGCCTCTCCAATACTCTTGATGGCTACCTGGATATTTCATTAATCATTGTATCTAAAGAGCCTAGGATAATGTCTGACACATAGCTGATGTCAATAACTGTAAAAATAAGTTCCTTCTCCCAGTCTGGGTGATAATTTAATTTATGGCACTGTTATCTTCCTTTCCTCTGTTCTCCCCCTGGTACCCATAATCAACAAGGCTCTATCTTTGCAGCTCAAACCTGTCTCCTTTTCACAAACACTCCTCATAAGCCAATATCCTGGTCTGGCAGCACAGGGCACAATCTGCCACTGAGGCCTTAAGTTTTGGGCACTGCCTGCCAGTTTGTCCTAGCGGTTTACTTGGGGGTGGAATGTCTGAGAAAACCACAGCTCCCACGGGTCCCCACGTCGGGACAGAAGGGAGTGGCCCTGCTGCTTCCGTCTCCACGGTTGACAGGCACCAAAGAGCTGGGACGGTCCCTGGCGGTGTCCAGGCACCCTCTACCCTCTCTGTGTGCAGGTGGAAATGAAGGTCTGAGGGCGGGGGGAACGGGAAGGCACAAAGTTCAAGGTCACACAGCGAACCCCGGTCAGATAGGGCCTAAACGTAGGGTTTCCGCTCGGCTCTCTAGGGAGTTGGGAGCCCAGCCGCCGCCTCCCCCCACAGCCGTGACGGAATGAGGTCTCACCGCAGGCCGCTACCGCCCCGCGCTCGCTCACTCCTCTCAGGCTCGGTGCTGCTGGGCCACTCGCACAGAGCCCACAGCTGTTGTCCCGGTGTCACTGGCGACAGGCATGAGCCACTTCCGGTACCCGGGCGGCACTCCAGCCAATCAGCGCGCGTCGCACTCCCCTGGAGGAACAGGTGGTCAGCGCACCAACGCCCCATTGCCTTTTCCGGCTTTGCTTTTCGCCGGTTCTTGCCCTAGCCCAAGCTCAATATCGCCGCCGCCTGCCGAGCCGACTCCCTGGAACAGCAACGTGCACCCGTCGATGCCGGCTTCAGCCCCGGGATCATTGACGAGCTGAGTCCTCCGGGTTTCCTAGAAGGGCTCCAGGGATAAACTTCCGCTCCGCGATCGGCTGCTCTGCGCCCTGATGTCCCTCCCCAAGCATCGCTCAGGGCTGAAGAACTCCGGAATCCTTTTTCCATTCCGGCGGGGACTGTTTGCGGGATCCCTTTAACTTTATTTTTATTTTTACTTTTTTTTTTTCACCATGTTGGTCAGACTGGTCTTGAACTCCTGACCCTTTAACTTTCCCAACCCGCATTGCTCTTATCCCGTCCTTCCCTTGCCCAGACTCGGTGAGTCTGAAAAACACAGGGCTATAGATGCTGGGAACTGGCCGTTCCTCGGCGGGAGCGAAGGGAGACCTGCTTTGAGTTCCGGGAGGCCTTGCAGGAGTGACATTTGGGCTGAAATCTCAAGATTGGGAATTACCTAAATTAGGAGGCCTAGGTTAAGCCGCTCCCGCCACGAAAACAGCATTCTGCAGCTAGCCTTCCTGGGTTTCCTGAGCAAGCTTTGCAGCTTGGCCCATTCTCACCTAAGAACCTTTTTTTTCTTTCTTTTTTTTTTTTTTTTTTTTTGGAGACTGAGTTTCACTCTTGTTGTCCAGGCTGGAGTGCAGTGGCGTGATTTCAGCTCACTGCAACCTCCGCCTCCCTGATTCAAGCGATTCTCCTGCCTCAGCCTCCCAAATAGCTGGGATTACAGGCATCCGCCACCACGCCCGGCTGATTTTGTATTTTTAGTAGAGACGAGGTTTCACCATGTTGGTCAGGCTGGTCTCAAACTCCTGATCTCAGGTGATCTGCCCGCCTCGGCCTCCCAAAATGATAGGATTACAAGCGTGAACCACTGCACCCGGTCACCTCAGAACGTTGTTACTAACCCTGTAATTTTGCACAGCCAGCTTGTTTTTTGTTGTTGTTCTTTGTTTTTTTGAGATGTTTCCCTCTTGTCGCCCAGGCTGGAGTGCAGTGGCGCAACCTCCACATCCTCACCAACACTTATCTTTTGTCTTTTGATAATAGCCATTTTAACTAGGGTGAGGTTATATCTCATTTTAACTTTAATTTGCATTTCCATTATGATGAGTTATTTTTTTATTTATTTTTTTTTTTGAGACAGGATCTGTCTCTGTTACCCAGGCTGGAGTGCTAGGGCACCATCATAGCTAATTGCAGTCTTGACCTCCCAGGCTCAACTGATCTTCCCACCTCAATCTCCCAAGTAGCTGGGACTAGAGGCATGTACCACCATGCTCCACTAATATTTTATTTATGTATTTATTTTTGAGACGGAGTTTCGCTCTTGTTACCCAGGCTGGAGTGCAATGGTGTGATCTCGGCTCACCACAACCTCTGCCTCCTGGGTTCAGGCAATTCTCCTGCCTCAGCCTCCTGAGTAGCCGGGATTACAGACACGCACCACCATGCCCAGCTAATTTTTTGTATTTCTAGTAGAGACGGGGTTTCACCATGTTGACCAGGATGGTCTCCATCTCTTGACCTCTTGATCCACCTGCCTCGGCCTCCCAAAGTGCTGGGATTACGGGCTTGACAGGGTCTCACTTTGTGGTCCAGGCTGGTCTTCAACTCCTGCCTCTGATCAGTGATCTTGAGTGTTTTTTATATACCTGTTGAGTATTTGTATGTCTTCTTTTCAGAAATGTCTATCCAAGTTCTTTTTCCATTTTAAAATCAGGTTGTTATTATTATTTTGCCATTTGAGTTGCTTGCATTTTCCTTATGTATTCTCCATATTAATCCTTTATAAAATACATAGTTTACAGATATTTTCCCCTATTACATAGATTGTCTCTTCACTATGTTGTTTCCTTGGTTATGGTTTTTAATTTTATGTAATCCCATTTGTCTCTTTTCACTTGTGTTGGCTGTTCTTCTAGAATAATATCTAAAAAATTATGGCCAGGCACGGTGGCTCACGCCTGTTATCCCAGCACTTTGGGAAGCTGAGGCAGGCAGATCACCTGACATCAGGAGCTCAAGACCAGCCTGGCTAACTCGGTGAAACCCTGTCTCTACCAAAAGTACAAAAATTAGCTGGGCATGGTGGCGGGCTCCTGTAATCCCATCTACTCAGGAGGCTGTCAGGAGAATTGCTTGAACTCGGGAAGGGAAGGTTGCAGCAAGCCAAGATCACACCACTGCACTCCAGCCTGGGCGACAAAGTAAGACTCCATCTCAAAAAATAAAATATAAAATAATCTTCAGTGAACTAATACTCAGTCCACCAACAAGATTCCTTCTCAATGATGCACCTTTGTCCTTGGGCTAAACAGTCTGTTAGCCATCCTGCACGCTCAGGTTCCTCTTCATACTGTTGTTTTCCCTTAGGCCACACACCTGCCAATGATGCTGCCCTCATTCCCACTGCAACTACAAACTATAATTGTGTTGCTACCTTAGGACCTCTCTCAAATAAAGGGTCTCTTTGTTTCTGGGGCTTAATTCTGCTGCCAACACTTGCAGATTCTCTCTCTGGAAAAATCTTGGGATCATTCAAACTCACTACCCTTTGCAGTAGTAAGTCATTAAACCATCCTTTTTGACTTCACTATTTCAATGCCATATAAGAAATAATGATGTATAGATCTTACACAGGTGAGCAAAATTTAGGCTTTGGTTTAAAACAACAATCACAAAAAAATCCAAACTCTATACATAGCCAACATAGTTTACAAAATCCTCTCATATATATTAGCCATGGTGAGAGTCTCTAGAAGGTTAGAATGTCTATGGCAACTGTAGAAAACTTATTTATAGGTGAGGGAGACCAGAAAGAGTTTAATGACGTGTCAAAGTTTGCTTAGATCAAGGCCAGGCGCGGCGGCTCACACCTGTAATCCCAGCACTTTGGGAAGCCTAGGTGGGTGGATCACCTGAGATCAAAAGTTTGAGACCAGCCTGACCAACATGGAGAAACCCCATCTCTACTAAAAATACAAAATTAGCTGGGCATGGTGGTGCATGCATGTAATCTCAGCTACTCGGGCAGCTGAGACAGAGAATTGCTTGAACCCAAGAAGCAAAGGTTGCAGTGAGCCAAGATTATGCTCCAGACTGGGCAACAAGAGCAAAACTCCATCTCTCTCTCTCTCTCTTTTTGTTTTTGTTTTTTTTTTTTGTTTTGTTTTGTTTTTTGAGATAAAGTCTTGCCCAGGCTGGAGTGCAATGGAGCAATCTCAGCTCACTGCAACCTCCACCTCCCGGATTCAAGCGATTCTCCTGCCTCAGCCTCCCATGTAGCTGGGATTATAGGCAGCACCATCACGCCCAGCTAATTTTGTATTTTTAGTAGAGAAGGGTTTTCTCTATGTTGGTCAGGCTGGTCTCTAACTCCCAACCTCAGGTAATCCACCCACCTCAGTGAATTACAGGTGTAAGCCACCATGCCTAGCTCAAGATCCCTTCTTTATGATTAAATCTTTCTCATAGTCAGCTAATGGTCAAAACAGGAAATTTCAAATTTAACATTCAGCAAATCCACATTTGCCTAACATGTGCATAAAGCATCCCCTTTCTACCAAAATAAAACCCTGTACAATGATGGTGTTTGGGTTACTTCAAGACCTCATTCAAAACAAGAACATGCACAAAGCCCGAGTCCTCTCCTCTCACTCTCACCACTTCTCTACTGCCCTTCTTGACTCTTAGTATTTGAGTTAAGTTGACTTGTTGTAGCTTGTGTTGTCTTGTAAGAATATGTTCTTTTTTTTTTCTTTTTTTTTTTTTTTTTTTTGAGATAATCTTGCCCTGTTGCCCAAGCTGGAGTGCAGTGGCGCCATCTCAGCTCACTGCAATTTCTACTCCTGGGTTCAAGCAATTCTGCCTCAGCCTCCAGAGTAGGTGGGACTACAGGTGCGTACCACTACTTCCAGCTAATTTTTGTATGTTTAGTAGAGACGGAGTTTCTCCATGTTGGTCAGGCTGGTCTCGAACTCCTGACCTCAAGTGATCTGCCCACCTCAACCTCTCAAAGTGCTGGGATTACAGGCATGAGCCACCATGCCTGGCCATTGTAAGAGTATTTTCCATCTCCCTATTCAGTTCTCTGCCAGGAGTCATTGCACCTGTAGCACATAGCTAACCAGAGATGGTTTGTACATGTTGACTGACAAATACTTATATGGGGCCAGAGGCAGTGGCTCACTCCACTCAGCACTTTGGGAGGCCAATGTGGGTGGATCACTTGAGGTCAAGAGTTCAACACCAGGCTGGCCAACATAGTGAAACCCTGTCTCTACTAAAAATACAAAAATTAGCTGGGCGTGGTGCCACAGGCATGTAATCTCAGCTACCTAGGAGGCTGAGGCAGGAGAATTGCTTGAACCTGGGAGGTGGAAGTTGCAGTGAGCCAAGATCACGCCATTGCACTCCAGCCTGGGAGACAAGCGTGAAATTCCATCTTTAAAAAAAAGCCTGCGTGCAGTGGCTCACGCCTGTAATCCCAGCACTTTGGGAGGCGGAGGCAGGCAGATCACAAGGTCAGGGGTTCGAGACCAGCCTGGCCAATATGATGAAACCCTGTCTCTGCTAATAATATAAAAATTATCCGGGTGTGATGGCACGCACCTGTAGTCCCAGCTACTCAGGATGCTGAGGCAGAAGAATTGCTTGAACCCAGGAGGCAGAGGTTGCAGTGAGCAGTAATCATGCCACTACACTCCAGCCTAGGCAACAGAGTGAGACTCTGTCTCAAAAAAAAAAAGCAAAAGCTTATATGGAAAGTCTTCCGATGTTAACAGTGATCTTCAAGAAACAGTACCTTACTGCATAAGTCTAAAACTGTGGCAGGAATTTTATGCACAGGGTAAAGTGAAAACTAGTGGCAGGAATTTTATGCACAGGGTAAAGTGGTCAAGAGAGCAAAGGCAGCCAGCTGACTTCAGAGACCCTCACATCACATTAGATGAATAGGTTTTTTGTTTGTTTGTTTGTTTTGTTTTGAGATGGAGCCTCCCTCTGCTGCCCAGACTAGAGTGCAGTGGCATAATCTCGGC